AAAAAAAATAACGTTAAACGAGGTTTTAATTTCAAGTCGCCTTATGACCGATAAAATAAGCCAAAATCTTTAAAGTACAATATATCTATATAAAATAGTGTACAAACTAGTATAATCGACTCAGAATACATATATATATATATGTATATTATACGCTTTTCTTAAAAAAAAATATAGTATACATATATGTATACTATACGCTTTTCTTTTTTTATTAGCCTACGCAACGTCTTTTATGCCATTAACCTTACGATTATAAGCAACACCTCTTATATGTAATGTTTTTTAAAAATTAGGCCTTTAAACGTAATTATTTTTAAAGTGGGCCCGTATTTGTAATTATTTTTACTTTCCAGGGCCCTTATTTGTAAATTCCCCTTAATGTTTTTTAATACATTTGATTATAAATATGATTAGTGATGTGCTCATGCGCATGGGAATATTTCGGAATCTCATAATTCTGGCCCGCATTAGCAGCAAGCTACCATAATGCAGGCCAGAATTCCATGCGCATGAAATTTGAAACAAGGCTAATTTTCCCATCACCAAATATGATTAAGTGAATAATTTAATGATTAATAATAATTTATAAAAATGTTTATTTCCCCAGAATTGCTTGTTATTTCCCCGGGTGCACTTTAAATTTTTATATATTTGAAAATAATTCTTTTAGTTTGCATTGCGATTTTATTTTTGGCGAAATTTTTAAAATCCTTTAGCCGTTGTAATAGTGTTACTTAAATGGTCTTAAAATTCTCTCAGTCACTTTATAGACACGATAGTTATTTAGAGCAAAGATCTTCTATAATTCTCTAAGTCAGCGCAATTGTATCATTATAATTAAAGACGATGTTTTTTAAATTCCTTTAATATGATTCTATTATTAAAGTGAAAATTCGTTTTGCAATTGTCTTTTAATAACTGTTTTTTTGTTGTACTGGCTAAAGTATTTGAGTCGAAAAACGCCGTCATGACGTCATATGAAACGAAGAATGCGCGTATGAATTGTGTGCCAGGTTATGCATGTTGCCGATCGCATGTCCGAAATGTGCAAAATTCTTTAAAATTCATTGATGTTAAGGTTAGAATTTGTATTAAGGTTAAACATTAACAGAAAATATAGTAAAATCGTTCAAGGAAAACTTTTAATTAAAGCACGGAAGATGGTTTCTTATGCGAATTTTTGAGAAATACACGATTTTTTAGCTTGTTTTGAATTTTTCTGATCGTGTAATGTTACACCTGATCTTGAAATCTGATTGGTAGTCTGGCACTAACCTGGCACACATTCCTTATTTCTCGCTGCGGGGAATAATCCGGCAAATCCCAATCAGCCGGGTCCTTCGGGCCCCGGCTGATTGAGGGGATTTACCTCTTATTCCGGCCGCAGCGGGAAATAAATAGTACTTATTACCTAGTGCAAAAAATCATAGATAATATTAAGTAATATTAAGTACGTAATAATAGTAATAATTTTGCCAATCTCTACTCATTTTTGTACAGTACAATATTAAAAAAGTACTTTAAATTCCGATTTTGTTTAAGCTTTGCCATTTTTTTAGCCCTTCAGAGCCGAACTACCCTTAAAATTTTTATGATTACTGTAATTTGTTACGTTAAAAATTTCTTTATTATACTACATATCTTAAAACGATTTAATATTTCTATAATAAGAAACTAGGAAGGTTATTAGAGCAGGGATTCGATGAATACCAAATTTGTATAGCATAATTCGTTTCTAACAGCAGAGGTCTTTCGATTTTTAAACATCTGCACTATCTAATTTAATGCGTCGAGTGTAATCATGATTTGCATTCGGAAAGCTTCTTCACGAAGTTGTTTTATATAAAATTACATAGAATTTTTATGTAGTTTTACAAAATCTTTATAAACTCAATGTAGATTTACATATCTATTTATATAAATTTACATATATTTCTATATAAACCTATGTAAAATAGGAAGTAATTTTATTTTATTTTATTTTTATTTTTATTTTTTTTTTTTTAAGAGTGAGGCCTGGCCTCGGTCTTTATTGAATAATTATGTGTTACATTATTTAAATGAATTACATGAATTATTACAGGGACCTACATCTAGGACTACTTTATCCTCGGCCCAAAGCTCTACTAGAGTGGGCTACCTGGCCTCCACTAGATTTAGTTTAGCTATATACGATGTAGATATAAGGAAACAATTTTGACTTAAATATTACAGTCAGGTATTTTACGCGATATAGAAATAATCCGCAATATACTAAAAGGTTATTCTTAAACGATTTCTATTTTAAAAAAAAAGGCATTTTTTATTATCTAAAAATAACAATCAGTTTTAAAAAAACCTTAAAATTTTCTTGCAAAAATTATTCTATGAATATGTAGTCTAGAGCCTTTAAAAGGCGAATTATTGGTACAAATTTGTACTATAAAAATTAAAAAAGAATTTTCTAATTGAAGATCTTTTTAGATTTTAAATTTTAAATTAGGGGTTTGGGGGAAGTTTTCGAGAATGATGAACATTTTTAATTAGTGCATTTGATCGTTGATTACCGAGAAACAGCTGAAGTAAATTAACTTATTTTTATATAGATACCCATAAAAAGAATTTTATTTTATATTTTTTCGCCTATGCCATTTATAAGATTATGTGTAACGTAAAATCAAAACAATAAATAATAATGCGTTAATTTAAGGTTAGGGTTAGTATTAGACTAGGATTAAGAAAAAGAAGTTTCTAACCTAAAATTTTGCAAGGAATTTTTTTAATTAGAGCGTATGAGGTGGTTTCATAGGAAAAATCTTGAGTTACAGACAATTTTTCAGAAAAGACCACGTTTCGTTTGATTTCATGTTATCTGATCTTGCATTCGAATTGATCGATCAGGGGTAGCGATACATCGCTACGGCGATAAATTACAATACTCTGCATAGATTTTATATTTATATAATAATAAATAAATAAAAATTATGTAGTTTACATATAAAAATTCTTATTATATAAATCTACATTGGGTTTGTAAACCTATATAAAAATTTTATATAATATTTATATAACCTTATTGAGCTACAGAGAGACCTCTCTAAGTGCACCCTCTATAAATGCACCCTTTATGTAAAATCTCTTTAAATGCACGGTATAATCTTGTCCCAGCTTATAATTGCACTATATATTTTTCTCTCTATAAATGCACATCCTTTCTAAGTGCACATTTTTAGAATTTTTCACTATACCCACGAGGGGGTGCATTTAGAGAGGTCTCTCTGTATATAAAGTTTATAAAAAAAACAACTTGTTGATGTTCCTGCGTTGTGAATGCAAAGAAAAGTTGCCAATTATATTATATAATTAGAATTTTTAATTTATATTCGCAACGTAGGAAGAAGCACCCCCTTAAGCAGACTTGGATTATACTCGACGCATTTTAAACGCACTAGACAAGGAAGGGCAGCCGTTAAAAATTGAAAAAACCTATGCTTGTTCTAGCTAGTCTAAATTGAGATGAAATGCTAAATTTTACAATTATATAAAGTCAGCATTAAAAGGCATTATCCACTAAAAGAAAAAAACAAAAAAAATGTTTCTCATTTATGCTTTTATAGCATGTCTTGTATTTTACTATGTCTTAAAGAAACCAAGTACTCCACGTGGTCTTAAAAAGCTTCCTTCGCCTGCTGGTAGCAAATTTTATTTTGGTAAATTTTATAGTTTATACAAATATTCTGAAATTATTTTATTGTTCGCCTTACAATCTTATCAATCTTATTTAACCAACATTTTTCTTTAGGACATTATTGGCAAGTTGGTCCCGAACCACACAAAAAGTAGGATCACAACGTTAAATAAAAATTTAATATAATAAATAATTAAATAACCCAATTTTTTTTAAAAATAGATTTACAGAATGGGCAAAAACATTAGGCGATATATATAGCGTACAAATGGGTCAACAACGTTGGATTATATTAACAGGAGATAAAGTAGTTAGTGATCTTTTACAAAAACGTATGTATACATGTATGCTAGATTTCTGACAAATTAGCGTAATAATAACCAAAATTTTGGATGAAATTATAGGCGGTAAAAAATATTCGTCTCGCCCACCGAATTATTACTTTTTTCAAATATTGGCAAGAGGTAAAGGGCTTATTAATTGCCCATATAATGAGAGATTTAAAACGCTTTCAGCAATTAGTAAGTAATTGATCATTAATTCAAATATAGTTTTATTTGTTTTTTTTTCTAATTTTAAATATCATTACACGTATATAGTACATGAAATTTTAAATCAACGAGCTGTAAAAGAACATTCCAATTTAATTGATTTACAATATCGTACGCTTATGCAAAATCTTTATCAAGATTCAACGAATCCAAAAGGTGGAATATATCATAAATATCATTTTCAACTAGCAAGTTTAAATATCATGACTTCCTTATCCCTGGCTAGAAGTGTAAAAGATATTGAAGATCCGCTTTATAAGGAATTTGAAGCTTCTATGAGATTTCATTTGAATCTTATCAAAGTAACAAATAGATTATCCGATTTTTTTCCAATGTTGAGATGGTTTTTGAATAATAAATTATATTATGATGTAATCAAAGATAGAAGTATGATTGAAATTTTATTTAGAAAATTAATTGAAGAAGTTAAAAACGATAAGGAAAAGAAGCCTTGTTTTATGAGAAGTTTACTTTGTAAAGTTGATGAAGGGATACTAGATGAATTGGATGTTGTTTATCTTATAAATAATATTTTTAATGCTGGAACTGTGAGTTACCTTAAAAAAAAATTTTTTCTCTCACTTTATTATTTTTTTTTGTTTTAATTTATTGGTTTTGAAATTTAGGATGCAATCTCTTCAAGCTTGACATGGATCACGGCTGCTTTAGCCAATAATCCTCATGTTCAAGATAAAGCTCACCAAGAACTTGATCAAGTAATTGGTCATTCTCGTTTACCGAATGCTTCTGATGAACCAAACTTGCCTTATATACGTGCAATTATCAAAGAAGGTCAAAGATACTGTGGCCCGATTTATCTTGGTGTGCCCCATTATATTGAAGAAGATGATGAATATAATGGATATCATATTCCGGCAAATTCGGTTGTTATTTTAAATCAATATGGAATTCATATGAACGAGAAAAAATATGAAAATCCAAAAGAGTTTAAACCTGAAAGATTTTTTGGAATTAAAGAAAGTAGCGCAACTTTAGCAAAAGGTTGTTTTGAAAATAGAGATCATTTTGGATTTGGAGCTGGAAGAAGACTTTGTGCTGGAATTCATTTTGTATATATAATTAGTATTAATTCAATTAATTTATTTAAATTATTTATTGAAATTATTTTTAACTATTTATGAAATTATTTGCTCTTGTATAAATATATACAGGCCGAACTTGAGCTTTTTTTGGGTGTTTCACGTCTTCTTTGGTGCTTCAAGATCGAAAATGCATCACCATTAGGTAAAGATGGTAAACCAATACCAATTAATTTGGATAAGGCGCAAATGGGAATAAGTGTATGGCCAGAAAAATATCATGTTAAATTTGTAAAAAGGCATGATAACGTTGAAAAGGTTTTATTTGAATGAACAGATAAGTTTTTTTTATAATTATATTGGCTAGGTGCTGAGAGAAGGGACCAAATTGACAATTTTTCAAAGGATATTTTTTTACATAAATCAAATTAAAATAATATTAGAATCATTTTTTACTTAAGACACAAAGTAATTGTATTAATAAAATTTTGTGGTATAGCTCTTTAAAGTTTGCATTTTCTTATAATTTATTATAAGATTTATAACATAAAAATTGATTTTCCGAAGATCTTTTTTTTGTCAATTTGGTCCCTTTTCTCAGCACCTAGCCCATATTATCTAAAGTCAAGGTTGTTCAAATTAAATGACTTTCTTTTAGAATACTATAATATAGTATTACTTTCAAATATTGGCTCAACTTGCTTATATTTAGATTTATTTTACTTCTGAAATAAGTACTTAATTAGGCATAGCACCATGCAATGCGTTTATATATCACACCCTGACGATCTACTAATTAAATTGTATATCTGTAGTAAACGTTAGGTGTAACGTTAAATTTTTTGGTTTTTTAAAGAAGTTGATAATATCTCAAAATATTGCTTATGAAACAACTTTTAATATTCTAATAAAAAAATTTCTTGCAAGATTTTACTATATACTATGCCCTACCCTAACCTCTAACTATCAATCTTAACCTATATATAAAAATTGATTTGATGTGATATTATGTTACGCGAATTTGCAATTACTTTATTGCTTATACTGTATTGAGGTGCGATATACAAGTGCATCTCATAATGCGATGTATACATTTATTCTTAAAATAATATTAGGTTTACTTAAATTGAGAAAAATTAACAAATCTAGTTATTAGGTCTTATACTTAGAATTAAATTTAAAATAGTATAGTATTTAAATTTTATAAATTGCTATATATTACTTATAAGATTACATCTATACAAAATTTATAAAAAAAGCAATTTTTTTATATTATTGTGTAAATACATATTTGCCATAATTTATGTATTCCGTCAAAAAAAAAAAAAGATCCATTAATAAGGACGTTAGCAAATGTGCAGATCCTTGGCACATCTACAAATATAATATCAGTTACGAGTTCTTTCTTTATTTTAAGATTTATTGCAGTTCTAAACTTACAAATTGTAGTGCTCAAGCAAAACTTAAAAGATATTTAATAGATTGTATTTGTTATACTTGGTATGCTCTGTATAATTATTTATTTTAATCAGAATTTTATAGATAATTAAAGTGGCATTTATTAGAAGTTAGTTAATATATGGTGAAAGTTAGCTATCGTATTTAAATCAAAATTTCGATATTCAAATATTAAGCCTAATTTTGGTATATTGAACCTCCAGCCAAAAAGTATCCCATTTACATAACTTTTTATGTCTTATTTTTATTAAACATGTATCTATTTAATTTAGGTAATTTAATATTAAATATAAAAAAAACGTGTGAAATAAAGGTTCCACTCTAAAATAAGTACCGTAAACTGCCGTATAAAGGACCCGGGTCTCTTACATTTCACCAAAAAAATTAATTAGTAAAAAAAAGAAAATAATTAGTAAAAAATAGGGGTGGGTCTAATATCTGGGGGGATCTTGTATACGGCAGTTTACGGTACATGAAAGTTATATCCTTTGCAGTTAATATAAGCGGAATTTTGATCAAGTATAATCGACCGCTTACGCAGCTGATTATACTTTACTATAAATTCCGCTTATACGTACCCAACTGTTCAGGATATTTTAACTCAATATTCAGGTATCCAAACGTTGAACCTAATTTAGATTTGGTTTTGATGATTAAATCTAAAATTTTGGCCAGAGTGAAGCGGAACTAAACATCCCTAGAACTCAATAGAGTATAACAAACTATTCTTTTATTAAAAGTCAGTTTATATTCTATTAAGTTAGCCATTATATTTTAATACAAAATTCAGGTATCCAAACGTTGAACCTAACTTGGACTCGATTCGATTCTGATCATTGAGCCTAAAATTTTGGTCAAGATGAAGCGAGTGCCGGACTTTTCGAAAATTCAGCAGAATAAGGCTTGAAAGGCTTTCACTTCGTTCCCCTCAGCTCCAGCCAATAACCGAAAAAAAAAAAAATTATAAGCAAGGAAATAATTTTGCTTAAGAACTGCGATAGAAACTTTTTGAAAAGGTCACGATCATCATTAGTAAATTGACATGCGGTGATATTCGATTTTCTAAAATAATTTATTAAATCGTGGACTTAATTATTTCATTCAAAATTTGATTTAAAAATAGTATTTTTATTTAAGCTACCTTTTTCATTTGTTTGTTCGCCTTGATTTATGTTCTCTTTCGCTTTAATATTATCGATATGAGATGTTACTGACATTTGCAGCGAGTATATCTCTTTTCTGTTTACTTTTTTGGCTGTTCTTCAGTCATTAAACTTTTTTCGTTTTCCTCAAATTTCATTTTTTATAGCTATTTGCTTGGATATGTAAGTTCTTTTTGGCTTTCCATTTTGACTAAACTAAAAAGAGAATATGACAATGTTAGTTTTTACTTATTAAATATGCTTACTTACGATGTTATGACATATTTATGACAATATAAATTCTTATTTTCACTGAGAATCAATTTTTTTTTTATTACTAAAAGTTGGCTACTATATTTTATGTGCAATTTCTGAATTTATTAAAAATTAGTAACATAATCTATTAAAAGTCAGCTGCTATATTTTACGCAGGGATATGGAATTTATGTGATAAAAATTCGTAAATTATGCGTGCGGTATATATGAAATATTCGATTTACTGATAATTAAAAATTAAAAGTGCGATTTAATAATGTTTATTAAGCATTTTTATCTCGTAAAAATAAAATCTTGCAATTTTTTAGATACTGCGCTCAACTAAACAAAACTTATCTGTTTCTAATTATTTATTGTTAAAATACTGCGCTCAACTAAACAAAAACTTCTCTGTTTCTATTATTTATTGTTAAAAATACTTTTTAATAAAAATTTGATAAATATTTTTTCAGCTAAACAAAAATTTATTTGTTTCTGATTTATTTATTGTTAAAAAACAATCTTTTAATAAAAATTTGTAAGTGTATCAGAGTAATTAATCTAAAAATAAATTATTCATATTTAACAATATTACCTTAATTGTTATTTTTAATTAAGTACTTGTTGTTCTTTTGAACTATTAAAAACAGCAAAATTCTCTTTTTAATTTTGAAAACGAATTGATTTATAGTGTTTTAGCATACTACAGTGCCTGACAAAAGGTTTTCTGCACC